TTAGTTGCTATAGAAACTATAACCTTTCTCTGTACCTTTTGTATACATTATACAGTGTGAATATACGAGAATATTTACAGTACTTGGCTTGTCAAATCAGAAACACTATAACTTAAAATTCTACTATTAACAACCATTGAACAAAAATATATATAATATAAATATCTTCCAGTCTATACACAGAGCAGGAAACGGCTGAATCCATGCGGTGCTGGAATTTGGTGAGTCCCAGGATGGGGGTGGTGATGGAAGGGGGATGGTGGGATGTTGTCGTGTGCGGCTGCCGCTGGCGCTTCACTGTCGGGCAAATATTGCCAAGATTAACCCCAAAAATTCAACGAGAACACGTTCCAACCCCTCCTCTCCCGTTTTCCCCCCCCGCCACCCCTCTCCCCATCCCAGCTGGAATTCAGGCGGAGCAGAAGGAGCCTCTGCTTGACTCTTGGGCTTGACCTTTTCCAACCGATCCATCCGGGACGGCTCCGTCCTCCGCGCTGCCCCGGGGCGGGAGGTCCCCGTCCATGAACCCACCGTGGGGCTTGAAATCAAGGAGACTTGAAAAAATAAAAGTAACTCGTTTTTCCTGATCTTTTGGTTTGGGTTTTTTTTGTTTTGTTTTTTTTTGTTTTTGTTTTTTTGGTTTTTTTGTGTGGTTTTTTGTAGTATTTTTTTTAAATAACCATTGGGTTTAGTTTAGTCGATTTAGGTGTTTTGTTTTGTTTTTTTCTCTACGATTAAAAAGTTAAAAAATAAGTTCCCAGCTTTAAAAACTTCCTCTCTACATGATTTTTGTCGTCGTTAAATAACCTAAAAATCGCATCGTTAATTTAAAAAAAAAAAAAGGAGGGAATAGCCTTCCTGCTGGTGGAGGCCGAGTCAGGTGGGTTTGGAAAACCCCTATGGGGCTTTGAAATCCTGGACATGAGACCAGCTACAAAATAAAATAAAACAAAAATCGTTCCTAGCCAGGAAAAACAAACAAACAAAGACCAAAAAAAAAAAAAAAATATTAATAATAAAATAGCTCAGTCTGTCCCCAATAAACCAGCGGGGGGGGGGGGGATTGGAGGCCGGGAAGGGGCGTCTGCACACGAGGGTGGGACCCCCCTTACAAACACACACGCGCAATCCCTCCTGCCTGGGGTCTGTACAAAGTGTTTTTTAAAAAAAAAAAAAAGAAACACCCCCCCCCCCTCCCCGTGGGGGTCGGGGCGGAGGCGCCGGCGGTGCCACCCGAGGAGGTGCCACCCGCGGCCACCCCAGCGGTTACACCTGCGAGTCGGCGCCCAGGCTGTGGAACTCGTCCGGGGTCTTGTCGCTCTGGCCGCCCCCGCCCTGCCGGAAGCCCGAGGCGATCTCGTCGAAGGTCCGGCCCTTCGTCTCCGGCACCTTGAAGTAGGTGAAGATGAAGAAGAGCACGAGCAGCACCGTGAAGATGATGAAGACGTAGGAGCCGCAGAGTTGCTGGGGGAGGAAGGAGAAGGGAAAAGGGTGAGCGGGGGGGTGGAGATCACGGGACTGGGGAGTTCTTTAGGTTGGAAAAGCCCTCTGAGGTCATTGAGTCAAACCATCGGCCCAGCACTGCCAAGGCCACCACCAAAGCATGTCCCCAAGTGCCACACCCACAGGTCCACTGAACACCTGCAGGGATGGGGACTCCAGCACTGCCCTGGGCAGCTGTGCCAGTGCCTGACTGCCCTTTCCATGAAGGAATTGCATAATCCAACCTGACCCTCTCTTGGCACAGCTTGAGGCCATTTCCTCTTGTCCTGTCCCAGGTCCGAACCCCTCCCCCTCATCAGGGAGGTGCAGAGAGTGAGAATGTCCCCCCTGAGCCTCCTTTTCTCCAGGCTGAGTGCCCCCAGCTCCCTCAAATATTCCAAACCCTTCACCAGCTCCACTCCCCACTCTGGGCTCACCAGAGGGATGGACCACAGCTGAAGGACCAGCTGGTGACCACCCTGACCACCCAGGTCCTCCTTTCATGGAACATCTCAAGTTGGGATGATCCATCAGGATCCCTGCTCCTTCCCCAGGTCCCAGCCCTACCCCTCTCCCCAGGTTTCAGGGTTCAAGGACACAGCCCTGAGATCCAACACTGGGGTCCAGCACCAGGATCCAACACCGAACTCTGCCAATGAGATCCAGCACTGGGATCCAGCAGCTGGACTCAGCACTTGGATTTGGCAGCAGGATACAGCAATGGGACCCTGCACTTGAGTCTGGCACAGGGATCCACCGCCAGGACCCATCATCAGGATCCGGCCACACACCACCTCCATCCCCAATCCAGAACCGGGATCTGGGTCCTTCCAGAACCAACCCAGCCTGGGCAGGTGGGGTTGCGACTCCCCCAGGTTCCTGGGACCCCCCGGGGACACCCGAGCCCCTCCAGCCACCCGGATTCCCATGTCCCCTGTTCCCCCCTGCAGTCCCCCCCTGATTACCGCGATGTACTGGAAGCCCATCCCCACGATGAAGTTGGAGGTCCAGTTGGAGAGCCCGGCCACCGCGAAGGCAGCGGGACGGGGGCCTTGGCTGAACAGCTCGGCCACGATGAACCACGGGATGGGGCCAGGACCGATCTCAAAGAAGGCCACGAACCCAAAGATGGCCACGATGCTGAGGTAGGACATCCAGGGCATTTGGTCCTGAGCAAGGGAGAAGGAGAAGGTCAGTGTGGAGAAGGGGTATGAAGCACCCGAAGGGCAAGGCAGCAGCCAGCTGGTGCTGGCCGAGGAGCCACCAGGCTTCTCTCCCAGAATTCTGGGACCTCAGCCATGAGGAAGATAAGTCCTTCCTCCCCCTCCCAGCCCACCTGTCCCCTCAGTGCCCAGCACTCACCAGCAGCGTGAGGGCGATGGTCATGAGCACGGCGCACCCTGCCATCCCCGCCAGGCCGATGAGGTGCAGGGTCCTGCGCCCGGCCCGCTCCACCACGAACAGCTGGGAGATGGAGACACGTCATCAGCACCTCCCCAGCCTGCAGGACAGGCCCCTGCTCCCCCCAGTGAGACCTCAGGGGGCCAACACTCACCGAGACCACCGTGAAGGCCGTATTCACCACGCCGGAGCCGATGGTGGCGTAGACGGGCTGCTCCACCCCCGACTTCTCGAAGATGCTGGTGGAGTAGTAGAAAACCTGCAAAGGGCAGGGAAGCACCTCAAGTCAGGTCTTGGAGACAACACAACCCAGGGCTGTGGGTGAAACGACCTGAACCTGAACAAGCTCAAGCCGTGGGTTTCTCGCTGCACTCCCTGATCTTTGTGGGTCCCTTCCAGCTCGGAATACGCTGCGATCCCGGGACTCACCGCATTGATGCCCGAGAGCTGCTGGGAGAGCTGCAGGACGATGGCGATGAGGATGGGCTGGCGGTACATGGGCGAGCGGAACAGCTCCACGATGGTCACCTTCTTCTCCCTCATCATCTGCCGGCTCTCCTCCTTCATCTCCTGCAGGTCACTGCTCACGTCCGTCGTGCCCCGCAGCTTCTTGAGGACTGAGGGGGGAGCACAGGTGGGGTGAGGAGCAGCCAAGAACCCTCCAGGGCTGGGGAACGGGCTCGGGGAGGGGTCACTCACCACTCTTGGCTTTGTTCTCTTCGTTGCGGTTGATGAGGAGGAAGCGGGGGCTCTCGGGGGCGAAGGGCAGGATGATGCACTGCAGCAGGGCGGGCACGAAGATGAAGCCCAGCAGCAGCGGCCACAGAGTGTCATTTCCCATGATCACGTCCAAACCGAACACCTGAGAACGACAGGAGGGGTTGAGCCGCCCCTTCCCAGCTGGAAAAGTCCCAGCTGGACCCAACTCTGCTGCCTGTGGGTGCTGGGACACCCACTGTGTGGGGACACGGCTGCTGTGCTGCCTCCAGGCAGCCAACAGGCATCACATCCAGGTGCTGCCCATCCCAAACCTTCAGATCCCATGGCATCCCTGCTCCTGCTGACCTCCAACCATCCCACCTTGCTCCTGCTGAGCTCCAGCTCCAATCACCCCAACCCTGCCCCTGCTGAGCTCCAACCATCCCACTCCGCTCCTGCTGAGCTCCAACCATCCCACCCTGCCCCTGCTGAGCTCCAGCTCCCACTATCCCATGCCAGCTCCGCCTGGAGGGCCATGCAGACCTGCAGCACCTCGTCCCTGCAGACCTTTTGAGCATCAGTGCCAAAATCAGAAGAAACACCTCCCATAAAAAGCTCTCCACCACTCACCTGAGCAATGAGGATGCCCAGGACGATGCCCAGCTGGTGGAAGGTCCCCAGGGCCCCCCGGAGCGCAGTGGGGGACACCTCGCCCACATACATGGGCACAAAACCGGTGGTGAGGCCAGAGTAGAGGCCGATGATGAAGCGACCGAGGATGAGCATCTCGAAGGAGAAAGCCATCTTGGAGAAGCCCATGAGCACGGCCGACACAAAGGCCAGGATGTTGGACATCAGCATGGAGTTGCGTCTGGGGAGGGACGGGAAAAGGACCGTGAGGAACAACCAGGAGAACCCTCAACATCAGCCCTGGGCAGGAGGGAGTGCCCAAATCCGCCCTGGTGGGATGCCAGGGTGGGGTGAGGCTGCACAAATACCATCACTGAGGTCCACCATGGAACCCCCAGGGATCCACCACAGACCCACCATGAATCCACCATGGATCCACTACAGTTTTGCCAGGGATCCAACACGGATCCACCATGGACCCACCACAGACCCACCAGGCTCTGTGCTCACCTCCCAAAGCGATTGACAAAGAGCCCCACGGAGAAGGAGCCAATCATGCCCCCGACGGAGAAGATGGCGACAGAGAGGGACCAGAGCGTGGTGAGCGTGGCGGGGCTGATGGGCTCCTCATACCGGTACAGCCACGTGCGGTTGTAGAAATCCTCGATCACCTGGGAAACGGCAGGAGAAAAAACCACGGCCCGGGTTAAACCCAGCCCCGTGCCACCGGCAGAGCCACGAGGGCTCGGCCACCTCAGCTCACAAGACGATGCGTCAGCGGGAGCCGCCGGGGCTCGGCTCCAGCCCCAGGGAGGGACCTGCTGGGATGCGTGGGGGAAATGCGGCCGGACGGGTTCTGGGCTCGCCCTGCCCGGGGAGGGACACGCTCAGCGCTGCCAAAACCCCGCTGCCGCCTCGCCGGGCACGGGCAGGTCACGCCGCTCCCCGGGGCACCGGCGAGGATGAGGCGGCACGGGGAGAGCGAGAGGAAGGGTAGGAACGCCAACAGCAGGTCCTGAAACGTTCCCGGCCCCCTCGGACGCTCCTGGAATTGGGTTTTCGGGGAGGTTTTCCCCGCGGTAATTCCGTAACGAGCTATTTTGCCGTGATTCTGGAGCACTTCTAAACGTGTTGGGTTTGAATCGCCACCTTCACAGATCACCCTGCTTGTATTTCTTACACCTTTTTATAGTGATTTTACATATATTTTGTGTATTATATATTTTCTGTGTGTATTATATATATATTTTTTGTGTGTGTATTTTACACATATTTTGTCTGCTTCATACCTTTTGGCTACTTCATATCTATTTTGCCCATTTTACATATTTTATATCTTTTATATCTATTTCGCATATTTTATATATATTTTTATATATATCCAACATTTTTGGTTTTTTTCATACATACTGCCTTATTTTAGATACTTTGTTATTTTTATCCTGTTATTTTTATGCACACTTGGTATATTTTATAGCTACTTTGTTATTTTAGATATACTCTGTATCTTTTTATAGCTACCTTGCATATTTTCATATACACTTTGTATCTTTTTAATCTCTTTTTTTAAAGCCAGCCCATCACCAACAGCTTCCATAAACTCCTGTCCCTGCCCG